CTATCCGAATCGGGCCAGGTCGTTTTCATGTGGGTTTCGCGGTTAAATCCAGCTAATCCATAATTGATGCTCTCTTTGATCCCTCTGATTACTAATTTCGTAAGTCAACAACTAATTAATCTCTGAATAAAGCGGTTCTTGAGAGAAGTGACATTCAAAAAGTCAAATGCTCCAGTCAGTTCTAGTGATATTTGCTGTCACAGATTAATTGCATTTTATTACATTATATTACAACCACATTCAATTGGCTAAAAAGAAACAGTAAGTGTACAAAATAAAATAAATGAAGAAGAGTGGATATATTACCCATTGGTACTCCTAAGGATCATAGGTGTTCTCTCCTCAATTGAGGTAGTTTCACTATCACCCGTTGCCACGTCTGTTTAGTCGGTGAGGAGGGTTGGAGTGAATTTTCCGGAATGAGAACTTTTGCATTTGAGGATTTATAGTGGCTGGGAAGTTTGTATAAAATTGGTGGTAACTGTAGTGGATTACATCATAGACAAAAGGAACATTTAGGCCTTTATGGGTAGTTTCCTTGGGCATATAAAAGAAAGAATCAAGGATTTTTCTAATGATTATTTATGGATTGAGTTATTTGGATATGGATGACATTGGAATGTTTGGATGAAGTTACACTTCCCGCCCGTAAGTCCATGTCAGTTTCACGCTGGTGGTATAAAGCAGCATTTTGTTTAAGATAGGTAAGTTAGAGCTTTTATCAAAAAGTCGTTACACAACTCTGTAAAGTTTCATTACTTCTTATCGTTACGTCGTCTGTATCGCTTTATTCCGCCAATATATATAGCGCCAATATATCCTAGAACCCGCACCTCGTCCGCAGTTGAGAGGGGCAGTAGATTGAAGGTTATCGTTTTACGAAGAGTGAAGGTTATGTAAGTGGATTTTTCTGGGCCACACTTTTTCTTTTTTTTAAACCATGTCTTCTCTAGTATGAGGTGTTTTCTGAAGATGTTCATTCATTCATATCATCAAAGATTCATACACTGCTCAAAAACTAAAGAAATATCGCCATTTTTGTAGAATTTACTTTCCCTAGCATTTTTATTTTATTTTTATTATAAATTGCATAAAAATTTATTATAAATTATTATGTTTTTTCTGAAGGAAAATTTAATTAAGAAATTTTGAAAAATAACAAAATAAAAGGTTTTAATTCTATAGATTTGTTATTGGATACAATTTTTTTAAACAATTAATACGGTGCATAATGTCCTCTTTTAGATAAAACCTCTGTTCACCTGTTAGGCATACGCGTTGTACTTTTTTTTAAATTTCATAAGGAATTTCACTTGATAGATGTTACCACGCTGACTCAGTTGTTACAAGTCAATTGGCTGCGGATGGTGATAGAAAAGCCTTTTCTGCAACATATCCCAAATGTGCTCAATAGGATTGAGGTGTGGAGGCTATGAAGGTAAACGCAGATTGGAAATTCCCAGGTTTTTTGGAATATTGATGAACAAGCTTCTATGAAGTCTGACATTATCATCCAGAAATCGAAAATCCCTGCCAATGAGAACCCTGGTTTGACGATGTATTCCTCAATAATTTCTTAGAGTGCGGTGAGATTGCTTTCAACAATGTGGAGTACACTTCGTCCTCCAGTGTAAATCCCAGCCCAGACCATTACACCACCTCTTCAAAAATGCACTGAAAGGAGCACTAACTAGGGCATTGTACGCATCCCTTGTTCTCTGTACAAAGGCGCCTTCTGTCACTATATCAGACAGAAACATGACTCATCAGTAAACATAACAGAATTTCATTTGGTGTTGCACCAAAGCAGCACCATACTCTGCTTAGTTGCTGGTGGCGAGCTGTTGTTGCAGGTCGACTCAAAGAGGCATGCGATGTGAGGCCAACTTTCTAAAACGATTACAAATCGTTTGTGTTAATAAAGGTCTTACCAAAACCTTTTGAATTTCATGTATCTAGCAGGCACTCATTAATGGGTTTGGTCTTGCAGCAATTACAATATTTCTGTCCCCTTCGCCTTGTAATGCGCGGAGATCTACTTCCAGATCTCCTATTGGCACTTCCAGTCTCTCGGAATCTGGCTAAAACCCGGGAGACCGCGATCTGACAAACGCCAACTGCCTCCTCTGATTTCCTCTTGCCGATGACCTCGATGACTAATTTTCACAGAAATTTTGCGGCGAACTTCTGGTATAAGATGATTTCTTTTCATGGTTAAAGAGTATACAACTGGTTTAAATTAGAGATAAACGAGAAAAGCTGTTTGTTTACAAAATGAGTAACCTTCATGTTTATTCTTAAGTAAGTCCGTTATTAAAAATGAGGATTAACATTTGTTTATTTTTGGTTTGTATTATCCAACTAACAAAAATATATCAGATAATTTCATTTAAATTAATGTGTAGAGATTAGTGACCGTTAATCGATAGTTATTCAGATATCGTGAGATGCGGTCGGGTGTGATGTAGGTTTCAGAAAAACATTTTCTTTATCGTTTCTATTTAAATTAATAGAAAAATAATAAATTGCAAATATCCCTATTCGTTTTTGAGAAGTTTACAAGAGAGAGATCAGAGTTACTTAAAAATATCGCTGTATCATTTGCAAATGATAGGGTGGTTTGAGGATGTAAGGGAATGTCAGCACCTGGTACGGAGCTAAAACACTGCGTGTGGTACACCGGCAAACGTAGGGTAGTTTGGGGTTAATGAGGTAGCTTTGAAGACTAAGATAGGAGGTAAAGGTAAGAATATCCTTGTAGATCGAAAACCGAGACCACGTCAAGGAAAGGAATTAAAATTGGAGTAATAACATCTTAATGTGTACTTTGTAGGTTTCTACTAATCTTTCCTCCCTCTCTGTCTGTCTCTCTGTTTCTCTGTATCTATATCACTCTCTCTCTCTCTCTCTCTCTCTCTCTCTCTCTCTCTCTCTCTCTCTCTTCCTCCCATTCATTCCTTTCACATCAGCTCACCCTCTCTCCAGAGATAGACATATTATCTGACTTGCTTATTTACAAGCCGATTTTCCATTCGCACAAGCACAACGCACAAATCCCCTTCTCGAACTTTCCAATTACGAGTTGCAGTCCAGTTCTGTCTGGTAACTGGATTTAACATAAATCATTTATCTCGGTACAGTAAAGTTAGTTCAACCCAAGTTGCGGCTGTCCCATGGCCTGTGTGTTAATCACTTTTGCAGGTGTTTTGTGACAATGGAAGTTAATTTTCGCGGCAAAATAACAACCAAGGTTGCCATAATGTGAAGGGACTATTTCTCAAAATTAACGGAACACGGTTTAGTTTAAACCCGCTATAAAGGCTTCAATCCATTTGGTGAGCCGTCTCTCATATATAATCACATAGATTGTGAAGTTAATAAAAGCTCATGTTTCAAGGATCCATTTCACATTCTTCACGCATTAAAGGCTAAAGTGGGTTGCTTTAGCCCATGACACTCCATTCTCTATCAAAAAACCGTTAACCATTATCAATTTTCTAGATAAATTTTTTTTTATCAGTCAATAATTACTTATTTTTTATGTTTTATCAAGCTTGTACTGAAAAGAAATTATATTACGGACGTTATTAATAACCCAGTGGCTCTTCTGGCTTAGTTTGTGAGATTTCCTGTTGGTGTCTGCGTGGTGATGAACCTATACTTTAGCGGTTCGCACTCTTCCTTGTACTTGCTGGGTTGGTGACTTATTATCGAAAAGAAACTACTGTCAGATCCATTGCTCCTTAGCCGTGAGGAACAATCTGCATTTTCCGGAGTTTAAAAATGTATCAATGATATAAAAAAAAGCATGCATACTTATTACAGTTTTCTTAATTTCATTTTAGCGACTATTGAAGTTTTTATGTTAAGGCCGGTTTATTGTAATATGTAATATATATCGTTGCAAGCTTCACACTTAAAAGTTTACATTGAATTAAAGTATTTTCAACATTTACACCGTGTAAATTCAATTAATCATTAATCGTTGTGGCTAACAATGTTATTTTGTTTACTTCCGCTTCTAATGAATGGATGTTAATTTTGATGCACGATGAATTTTCAAGTGCGTCTGTACTATTGGGGTAAGCAGCAACTCTAAAATTTTACAGTATTTTTCAACGAAATTTAGTTGCTTATAGAGAGCTGAAACATTTTCCACTTTCGGTGCTATTTTGTAAGTAAAACAGCTGACCATTGCTGAGCCGTTGTATATCATTTTTGGATGTATGGTGGCATTATGTAATAGAAAATAACGACCAAAATATTAACCTATAATAAATTCTGTCAATAAATTAAAAATCCTACTCAGGAAACTGCATGTATAAAAACATTTTAAAATTTGATCAAAGAAATATTGTGCTTGAGTTTTGCCTTGAGAAAAGAAATAAACTTTCAAAACCGTCGGCCAAATGAGATAGAATTTTTTTTATTACCCAAAATGATTAAACTTCCCAAATAAATTAATTAGAAAACGTACTATTTTCTTAATATCTAGTTTGATAAAACAAATATTTTTTGTTTTATTTTTATATACTGAAAATTCTTAGCCAGCGATTTACCAAAACAGCAAATCGTTATTTATTAGCAACAACTTAGAATTCTGACAAAATTTTACACGTTGTAGTTAATAATAAAATAATAATTATTTGCTACTGGGTATTTTTCTTTTCAAAATTGCTCGCTACGATTTTTTGGCTATCATTTTCTTACAAAATCCAAAAGATTCGTATCAATATGGCGTAATGGTTTGGAGAAAATTGTAAAACCGAAAGGGGATAAAATGCAATTTTTCAGAAGAGGCTATTTTCCTATCGAGGTCGAATCTTTCCCTTTGCTGAGCTATTTACGATTAAATACATCGATTCCACTTGCGAGGAAAAGTTGATTGAAGTGGTTTTAGAAGAGAAGATAATTTTTGACACACAATATACAAAAAATACGTGTCTTCAGAAAGTGTAAATGATAGTGACTTACAAGTTCAGTAAGGCATGATACACCTGAGCCCTTGATTGGCAGCTTTCAAAGAAATATTTGACTCATCAGTGAGTCCCCCTCCACGGAAATCTTTAGTAAAAGGCGAAAGATTTATTCGTTATGAAGGGAGACCAGAGTGAAATATTTGAACCACTTTAAAGCCTGGAATCTCATAGGAATAGATTTATTCAGTGTACCCAAGTTTGTAAAAGTAAACGGTGTATGTCTGTGAGTCGTGAACACAAATTGAATCATTGAACCGGCACTTGGTCAATTACTGGGTCCGTCTACACTCGCGATTTTCTATGTTGCTCAAACGAGTTTCCGCTCTATGCTGTCTTCAGTGAGGAACTCTCCTCAAGTGTTTCGAATGTAGTCGGGGCCAATCAATAAAAAATATATAAAAAAATGTATTTCTTGGTTCCAAAAGCAGTCGCTTCCTAACATTGTAAAGTAAGGAAAAAGAAATATAGCTTTCTTTTCAATCTCCAATAACAAAGCACAAAGTGGATTTTGGCATTTGGCTTGATGCTACAATCTAATCAATCAAAAATAATAAGACTTAAGATATTGTACAACAACAGAAGGGAAGTCTTTTCAAAAGTATTCTGTTCTTACCGTCAAAATTCAACTAACTCTATACGAGACATAACAGCGAAAAGTTTGGGCATATAGAGTGAAACTGTGGAATTCCACCAAGCCAATCTGTCCAATCAACAGTCGTCGGACTAATTTTCAAAGCTCCTAACTACGTCACTAACTTTACTATCCGCAACGACCTCAACATTCCTTTTGTCAAAGATCCGATTCACCTTCTACAAGTTCCGCGCCAAGCTCTCAAACAATCCTAACCCTATGGCACAAGCTTTATCTACAATTTCTTTCAAAATCTACTCAAGACATTCTCGCCCTTAATCTGGGCGTCGCGGCTTAAAAGGCGGGAAAAAATCGTTTTCCTTAAACTTAAATTTTGATAATCAAATTTACTTTTCTTATTAGAAGTAGTATTTGAGCCAGAGAATAAGGCTGTAATAATGGTTTTACGGTAAAAAAAAAACCTGAAAATTATAAATTTTGCAAAATATACGTCTATTTTCTGAATATTACCCCTCCCAGCGATTCCTTGTAAAATCTCTGTACCCTAATTTCCTTTTACGTACATACCCAAGTATGAGATAAAAACGAAAATGGGTTACTTAAAGGAAATCCAGCAATATTGGAGGAATATTTGGTTTTTTAGAGGTTCAAAAAAACCTTTGTTGCTCTTTGTTTTGGCACCATTTTTTCTCTTCTATTCACATCGAAGTACTACCTCTGTAGTTTTCAGCTGCCAATTACTGCCTATCTGATTGCAGCAATATTTTAAATAGAGCTATTTATCCTAAAATCTCAAAATACAATAAATTTTGCCAATTTCTATTTCGTTGAAGGATTGTGCTTTAACTGCTACTGTTTTGTTCGGTATAGAATGCGAATCAGGTATCAGAAATATCGTATCATAAACCGTTTTCTTTAATAAAAAGGTCTATTTATAAAAAAAGTAATTTAATGACTTTTTCATGTATTCGTGATCAGCATTAAATTTCCTACAAGGATAGAAGTTTTCAGAATTTCTTCTTTTCTTCTTTACACTTTGGGTTTCAACAGTCTGCGAATAATTGTGTGTGAGTTCATCTGAGTTTATACGCCCGATTACCTTTTGCAACGTGTAGCAGTCATTCGTCTGCCGTCCACAGTTTTGGACGATTTGCTATGATCCAATCGATTCGAGAACAGTTTCATTGAATTCAGCGTATAGGAAAATATTAAAAATGATACACACGATGATTATTGGTGATATTTGTTCCATTTTTCAAGTTTATGGATCACAGTTTTGGACTGTTTATAGTGATCCAATCAATTCGAAAAACGTTTCATTCCAGCGTACCAAAAAACTTAAACATACAAAATTTGGGAAACAAACCTCAAATAGCCTGGTTGTCACTGAATTTTTTCCGCTTTTTGCGCTTTGGCCCAACTGTGCTTCGTAGTGCTAGCGTTGAGAAAATAAGATATGCGCAAATATTTATAATATCTATTTTGATATGTACATCCTACAAAGATTTATTTAAATTGTTGTGTTAAAAAATACTCATTATTTTTATGACACTTAAAAAAAATGTTTTGGATAGCAATTTGATATAACATATATTGTTGATAATTTGATTTCTTCCGGGGCACTGGAATCAGTGTTAATGCTGTGAGAAAAAAAATCATTAATGTAAATTCGTAATATTTTATTTTTGCAAACAGACTACAAACAAACTGTTTATTTTAAACAATCGATAAATCGTTTAAAAGAAAGTAAATACTATTGAGTATGTATACTTTTCTTTCGGTTTTACAAAATGATTTAATTTCTTAAAATTATGTAAAAAAAGAAAAAAAGGAATGTAATAACTGAATATTTTTAAATTAAGTAGAAAGGAAGACTTGTATGATTAATTTAATACTAATAAATTGCAGTTATTAGTATTAAATATATAACCCCCGGTACTTTCTGGGATAAAATTCTGCTTTATTATATTTTTAATATTCGTCTTGGATCCTTCCGCCAAAATCTTTCTTTCCATTTCTGGTACTACAACATGTCCATTGCAAATTTTTATTAGATATTTATTTTTTTATTTTCTATTTATACACATATTTGGTCGCAAAAGTGAGATTTTATATTGCTTCTACATAACTGCATACCAAACTGATCCGTGCTTTTGCAATTTTTTATGTTTTTATAAGTAAAAATTTAATTGTTTATTTCAATCAAAAAAGAAACAAGATATTATTTCCCAAATTGTTTTAACGGTCTTAAACAATAAATAAACAATCTTTATTTATTACATTATGTGTTTTCATTGTTTCTGTTATGTGTCCATGCATTTTGTAGCATGTCACTCGGAATCAGTTAGCTCTGTTTGAGGGCAAAACGGATTTAACTGAAGAGACAACAGTCCTTGAATTTTTCACAGACTTACTCGTAAAGAAAAAATAAGGCTTCAATTACTGTCTTTCTAAAGAGAAGATTAATGGATAGTTAATCTAATTCCTTGGTAGTTTGTATTGATTATTCTTTAGGCAATTATTTATTATTATATCCTTGATAATCTCTTAACCGAAACGGATATAATCATGGTAGATAAATATTTAAAATGTGATTTAAAAATAGCAATAATCCTAAAGAAAACCAGCTAGCAACATTAGCACAAACAAAGTTAATAATAGTTTAACTATACTGCTGAGTTAATATGTAAAAACGAACTCTTGGAAACAAATCTCTCAAAAAATTTAGGTGAAATTGAGTCTATTGTGCTAAATCCCAACAAGAAAGATTAGAGCTCCATTGCTCTAATTGGAATTACTTGCCGGCAGCACGCGTGTTATGGAAATAAATCGTTTTTACATGTGATTACTCGCAAAAATATCCGGATTGAATAAATTTTTTCATTAACACGATGCTTGGGCCGTGTATTCGTTAACGATCGGCCCGTGGCGTTTGCCGAGAAAAACTCACATCATTTCCCAGTACGGTTCACGTATCGCTTGTAATTGGTTGATACGATTATTGACAATGCTCTGGGGACAAATACCTCCTAAATTGCTGTACATACCAACTGAATGCTGGCTCGTAAATCGTCAGAACATAATTAACAATTGGTATGCCAGATAGTTGGAATTACTTATGGAGAAAACGCAATACACTATTATACTAATGAAAACGGTTATAGGAGAATATTAGAACGTAAATAATACACGAAACCATAAAAATAATCACAAGAGAATTTGTATAAATTCTATTTTATTTATTTTGACTCTTTCTTCCCTTCTCTCTCTCTCTTACCCTCTCTCCTTCTCACTCTCTCTCTCTCTTTCTCTCTCTCTCATTCTCTCTCTCTCACTCTCTCTCTCTTTCGCTCTTTCTGTCTCTCTCTCTTTCTTTCTCTCTCTCTCTCCCTCTCTAGCTCTCTCTCTCTTTTTTTTCTCTCTCTCTGCCTATATCTAACCTACATTTATTTTTGTCGTTCTCCCTTTTGTATTCGTTTGTCTACCAACACCATATTTCTTACATAGGTCTCTCTCTCTGAATTAATCATCATTTGTAGTTTGTAGTATTAATTTTCTTCCTTCACATATACATTATAATAATGTTAATGCATGTGCGTTATGATTTTAAGTTCCCTCCGAAATAACGTTACGTGTTAGCTCAAACACATTGTTTGTTAATTCCTAGCCTTCCTATTTCTTTGCTAAATATAGAATTAGCTCACTGATCTAGTCACATTTAACATACAAACTTATTATTTTTGTAAAATTGTCATTGTTCAATACCTTGAAAAGGTTAAAAATTACTGGGCCAGAACAACTTTTGTAACGACGAAGAGCTAAGCGACCAATTAGATGACAATACAAATTCCGGAAATAAGTAGAGGGCTGGAAATGAGTAAAGAATGAAGCGTCCTTAGGAAATGGATAAAAGGGGGAAGTTGCAAAAGAATTTCGTCCGAAGGGACGGGGTAAAATGAAATGCGGAGCTTTATTTCCTTTTTTATAAACTGCAACGTTAAAGCGAGCATTTTAATATTTCCAGGTAGATTTCCATTCTATTTTCCATTTCCGCTTACATAGCATTATTTGTTAATTGTTAAACGTCTTAAAAACAATGAAAAAATAACCGCAATGTTAGCCGCTTCCACGCTCACTATGCAACACCAGACGACAATACAAGCATACTTTCTAAATATAGTTTTCAAAGATCGCCAAAAATTTGATATGATTCGATGGAAATATTTCATTTTTATCTAAATCTAAAACGGCAGTGTCAATATTTATCAAAATCCAAACATGACCTCCTCTGTGTAGCAAATAAAAATAACATTGGTATAAAAAAGAGCGTGAATAAAGTCGTTTTCTTTTGCGACAATTCTAGCCGTACAGCCTCAATTTTTACGTGCAGAAATTGCTCAACTAGCACTGACTTTCCTCATCCACACCATTTCCCTTAAAATTTCAATTTGCGTTAAAAATGTTTTATTAAAATCTTAATTAAAACTGTTTTAGACAGNTCTATCTATCTATCTATCTATCAATATATATATATGTCCCTCCC